TGACTTTTTCTGCTCTCAAGATGTTTCTTATAAATAGGCAGCCATCTTTGACTTTTTCTTTACCAGAATAATTTAAAAGTTTGTTCCGTCTCATAGATTGTTTAATTTCTTACCCATTATCCATTATAGTGCATCTTGTTTATCTGTTTATCAGGAAATAGACACTAGATTATTTTGAGATTTTGCTGTTGTTACTAATACTTCTGTGAACATTTGTGTTCAAGTTTTTGTGTGTCTATGTTTTCTGTTCAATTACGTGTGTAGTCTAGGAAGGGAGTCTCTGTCCATATGGTAACTGTTTATTAATGTTTTGAGAAACTTTGAAAGCTTGTTCTGTGAAGAAAGTGCCAGTTTACAATCTGACTAATATTGTGTGATAGTTACAACACTTTGTGTTTGTCTTTTTTATTGTTTTAGTCTGGTAGATCAAAATGTTTTCTCATTTTGATTTTCATTATATGTCACTGATAACTAATGATGTTTCACGTCTGTGTATTGCTCGATAGCCAGTAATATGTATTTTTTGCCATAATGTGTATTTAAATCTGTGCATATATATATATATAGTGTGTGTGTGTGTGTGTGTAAAATTTCAAGCAACTTCGGTGCAAGGATTTTTTTTTTGTATTCTAGGTGCAAGTCCTCTGCTGCAAGCCGCAAGAGTGTATTATAGAGATTCAGGTGTATATAATAAAGCTGCACCTAGAAAGATCAAGGAATTTTTCTAGAGGGAAGCCATTTATTAAGCAGTATTTGGTGTTATTCAGCTTTTAATATGCAGCTGTTTCTTGCTATGAAATTCTTGCTATGAAATTCTTGCTATGAATTTCTTGCTATGAAATTCAGACCTACTGCTGATCTACTAGGTAACACTCATACAGAACCTGGGAGACAGGCAGACTGTAGATGCATAGCTTTGTTTCTTGTGCAAATGAAGCTCAGACTTTTCTTCCCCAGACTAGCCAAATGGCATTTTAGAGCGTTTGACTTAGAACAAAGGGTTTTTGCATATCTAGAATTTCTAAATGGTCTTATTAAATAAAAAACTTCGAGCCAGAAATTGGGGTTAAAGCCTGAGAGATCAGAGGAATAGGAACAGCCACAGCAAACCTTACCCCACCAACTCTGCAGCTTCAAAGGAGCGAGATACTTCCTGTTTACCCATGCCTATATGCCCTGCTGTTCTGCCATGTGATTTTGTCTCTCTGTCCAGCTACATCACTTCTTCTTCCTGTCCAGCGCTGTCACTTCCTGTCTGTCTGTACAGACCTCCAGACCTCCATGGTTAACTAGTGTTGGAATTTAAGGCGTGTGCCACCACATCTAGCTCTGTTCCCAGTGTGGCCTTGAACTCACATAGATCCAGACAGATCCCTGTCTCTCAAGTGATAGGATTAAAGGCCTGTGCTAACATTGCATGACTTTTGTGTTTACTTAAAATGGCTGGCTTTTTCCTCTGATCTCCAGGCAAGCTTTGTTTATTAGAGCACAAATGAAATATCACCACAAGGTAGAGTGAAGGGTGGTGCAGGATACCTGGTCCAGCTAGAGTCGCACAGCCAGGGGGAGAAGAGAACAAGGCAGAGTTTTTGTAGATGGTAGGGCAGAGTCACATTGCTGGAGAGAAAGGTGATAGATTCACAACATGCCCCCACAGTTGGGCATGGTTGCGCAAGCCCGGCGGACCTAGACACTTCCGCTTAGCCAGTTCCGGGTCAAAATAGCCAGTTCCAGGTCAAAACGTCTTGTGTGACCAGGACCACGTGGCTTTGCATGGTTGCATAAAGCACGCAGCGCAACCATGTGATCTACACGCATGCGAGGAGTAGCCACATGAGCCTGTGTACGCTTGCGCGACCCAGCCTTTATAAGCTGGCACCATATTCCCGGCTTCCCTCCTTATGCACATGTCTTTCCAACAGGCCTGAGTACACCTGTCTTTCTCTCTTATTTTAATAAAACTCTTGTTAGTGGATTCTGTCATGTTTCATGACATTTCCTCGCAGGGTAAGAGCGCCGCCAAATAACAAAAGGAACAAGGCAGATCTTTTGTGGAGAATAAGGATTGGTTCAGGTCAAGAGAGCAGGAAGAAAAGAAATGAGTGGATGGAGAAACTGAAGACGAAGATGAGATTGGAAGCATAGGAGCTTACTAAAACTATGAGAGGACAGAAAAAGAAGGGACAGAGAGGTACCGAGTGTCAGGATGGAACTGAAGCTGTATAGATAGAATTTTGTTCTAGAGAAATAAAGTAAATGGACAGAAGGGCATGGTGTACATAGATTCTTTTCCCTCAGATAACCCCACACTGGATGTAGCGTCTTTCCCAGGACTCTGGGAGGAATCTTCTCAGGGCAGGCCCTTGGGAAAATTCAGATAGTCCTGTATGAAGTGGTGGTTTATAGTTTTGTTTTTCATTTTGTGGGTTGAATTTTCCTTTTCTTGATGATATCACTTGAAATCACCAAAACAAACAAAAACTAAGGTTTTCACTTGTAGCTGTAGGACTGTTACTGTTTACAGTTTGTTGTATTGTTGTAAAGCATAGCTGAGCTTCCCTCGTTGAGTGGATTCATAGCTCCAAGTAGGTAGAGCCGCCAGTAGAGCCTTCACAGGTCTGGCCCATCTCTCCTTCCAGCTAATACCCCCCCTCCCCCTCTTCTTTGGAGCTATGATGTCCATACTATAATGGCAGGCCTGCCTTGACCTTGAGCGTACAGGAGTGGCTGAAGCTGACCCTGTGTTAGCATTAATTTTTTAAGGGTTATTATTTCCTCAATGGAAATAGACACTGAATCTGATCTTCCATTTTATTTCTCTTTTCTAACAGAGCCTTGTTTCTGCTCATTATGCTGCTCTGGTATCTGGCAGATAAGGTGCACAGCTGTGGAGGGCAGTGGTCTTGGAGATAATCACTCTACTTAGTGTAGTTTTTTTCACTTCCCATGTTTCTGCTCCCTTGCTAGTTCATAGTTTATGAACCCAGATCTTCAAACTACTGGAATGCTGGACCACAGTGTCCTCTAGACTTCTGGATGTCATTGATTAAAAGTTTCTTTTTGTCAGAAAGAACATTGGGTGATATAACTATCATCATGACAGAAACAATAACAGAAATATAACAACTCTGAGAGTTTGTTATCAAGAGAATTGGAAAAAAACAGTTATGAAAGTCAATACATTGCTTTAATGTTTCTTATTTTCCTATCTCTGAAAAAACAATGCTTATTGTTTATAGACTCATACTTTGGAGCTGTAGTCTAATCTACTTGACAGCAATTTTAAGTAGAAATTGGCCCACTTCAGTTGGCCCACTATTTTCTGTGTCTGGTCTCAGATATAAGCTTTATGTCCATTATTTTTTACCACTGAACTAAGTATTTTGGCTGTTGTGCTTAGTCAATCAAGTCTTCTTTCTGCTGGTACTTGTATGGCTCTCCAAAACAGAAAACTGTGGCTGGCACATGTGGGTATAAATCTGAGCTGACATTGAGAAGATAAAGTTATCTTCCAAATGGTAAGATGACTCCTGTTTACCTACTCAATGTGTAATTTCTAGATTATGCAAGTATACTGCAGGCTAGAAGCACTACATAAGTTCTATTGATTCTCTCTTGCTGAAATTGCAATGTCAAATAGATATTAGAGTTTTATCATAGGATAGTTGTGGGCTGTCACATTGGCTCATTAATTACAACAGTTGGGCAATAAAAAAGCCACAGGAATAGATAATATACTGTGCATTTTTTTGTGAGATTATAGTTGTAACCCCTACTTATGGCAGTAAAGTCTTGTTAATTGACACTGCCATAAAGTACCTTTGCTTTGCTGTTCTACTTTGAGGTTGGCTTATCAGTCTGTTAAGGATCTGGGAACTGAGAAACATACAGTGAGGCTCACATTCCAAGTCATTAAATCTTCATTCATGATATAGACATTAAATTTATTCAGCAAATATTTGTTAAACATGCTGTAAGTGCTCTTGAGTATAGAAATATATAATGTAAAATCTACTCTGAAAAAGTAATAATGGAGAGGGGAGGCAGAATACCTGTATAAAGGTAAATGTGACCCGTATTTGTTAAGCCACATGTGGTAAGTTCCTTAAAACTAGGTTGAACTACTCTCCAAGTTGAGAGGAGGGAATAATTCCAGGTCTAAGTGATCAGTGAAACTATAAAGCTCAGTGGTAGAGGAATTACTTTGTATCACGACAGAAAGCTCTGTGCTTTCTCTAAATATACATCTTTATTCTAGAGTGGTAGTGAGAGGTAGGTGGCTAAATGCACTGGCTTGGAAATCAACTTTTGTTCTCAGACCAGCTGCCTTGCAACCTCATTTTGTGTCCTTGCGTGTATAGTATTGATGTAATAATATGTGTCCAGCATATCTCACTATGATAAATGAGATAATGTGGATGCCTAAGCTGCTCCCTGTAGTGAAAGTCAGATTGCTTAGCAGGTGTCTTTTTTTTTTTTTTTTTTTTTTTACCTCAGACACCTTAGGCCATGCATTTGAATGATAGTAAGCTCAGATTCCCATGACTAACAAGATTAGTGTCCTTACCAAAGCACTCTATTTGTTGCTAGGGAATAGCATATTCTGTGTGGCATTTGAACTGCTGTCTTAAAAAAAATTGTTAGAATTCGTTGGAGACCACCTATGTGAATACAGAGTAGTTGTGATTCTATAACCTCAAATATGCTAAAAAGGAAACTGTGCTTATTAGGCTGCCGGTTTAGGAACTTTACATTGGATTTATAAATTCTTAAGTCATCTTCATTTAGTGACAGTAATCTGGGACTAGATAGATTTAGAAGATTACTTAGACTGTATAGCTGTTGGAAATCAAATCTGTTTGAATGTGATATTTGTACTGTTTACATGGTGATGTGTTGCTCACTGGAATTGATATTTTTTTCTTGCAGGCCAGTGTAAACCGTTTGTGTGTGGTATATGCATTTCTGTAAATGTTATTTGTTTGTTTATTTTTCCACAGGTTACTTCTAGAACTGCTGGAACTGTTGTTTGACAAGTTTAATGCTGTAGCCACAGCACACTCTGTGGTCCTGGGGTACCTGCAGGACTCTGTTGGATCCCAGCCAATGCAGCAGGAAGAGATTAAATTATATGATATGGCAGATGTGTGGGTGAAGATCCAAGATGTGCTGCAGGTAAGGATTTTGTGCAAAGGCTGTCATCTTGATTGGGGACAGCAGTGTAGAACAATAGTAAACAGTGATCTAAATTAGAACCTTAGGAAGCACAAACTGGATGAGGAAGCTTTCAATGAAAGGGAATGCCATTAATTTCTACCATTTTTATAAAGGACTTCTAATAAACTTTTATGATTATTATTATTAATTATTATTTTAGTCAGGCTTTAAAAATAAGAGCTGATTCTCAATATGTAGCAAGCAAAGATAGATACTATCACATTTCTATTCACAAGTTCTTTACTCCATTAAAATTAGTCATATGGTTAGCTAATAAATAACTTGGGTGGTTAATAGAGGAAGATCATGAGTTTGAGGCCATTCTGGGGTTTATGGAGAGTTCATTGCTGGCCATGACTATGGATTGAGACCCCATTTCAAAAGAAAGAAAATAAGGGCTGGGGGAAGAAGAGAGAGATAATAAATATTAAAATGTTTTAAAGCTATTTCATGAATACAGCTAAGCTTAATTTTACTGACTGGTTTCTTACCATCACCTTTTCCATGCATTGGGTTAAACGACAGGACAGGAGCTTATTCTGAGAGATGAGAATAAATCTGTGGGTTGGAAAAGTATTGCTTTTATTTGTTGACGATCGAAGGAATTGCATTTTACTGTTTGATACGATACTGCTGACATGGCATTTAGAAAGTACATTATATTTTTTCTCTTTGTCAGCAAAATATATTTGATTTGTCCAGATGAAAATTAGAAATGCAATTAAGAGTTAGCTGAAACAAGTTTGACATAGCTAAGTAGAAATGGTAAGATCTACTTAATATTACAAAAGGTAAGTACATGTAGAGAATTGAAAAATGTAACTGTTGGAATGAAATCACTTGCACAGAAAATAGGAATGTTTGCAATGATAAATAAATCATGAATGCAAATTGTAGTCATTTTTGAGAATATATGCACGCTTCTGGTAGATTGAATAAGATTGATTCTTAGTAACTCATTTTCTAGACTTATTTTTGGGAGCAAGGTGCAGTGTATTTGCCCTGTTTAGATGGATTGAGTCTACTTTTTCTGGATTCCTTTTACTAATATGTCAGTTACTATGTTCCTGTAGTAGGTGCTTGAGAAATATGTGTATTGGATTAAATATCTTTATGTGTTGGAGCTGCTTATTTAACACTTTCCATCCTGGTTTGCTTATCTGCCACATAGAAATGAAATGTGCCTTTCATGTTATAAAATAACATGTTAAAGCAATTTCAAATATTGTTGGACTTCTAGTTCTTGCCATGTTGAAATTACCTTTTATAGTAAGTAACTATAAACCTGAATGGACTTAGGTAATACAGTTAGCAGAAAGGAGAGAACAGATGAGGTTAATCCCACTTTCTTCCTGCTTCCTTTGGTGGATACTTTTTAAGCTATTGCCATAGAGAAGTGAAGTCCAAAAGACTATCTTAGCAGAGGAATCCAGGAATAGAGTTCAGGGATGTAGAGGTTTCTGAAATTTGTGAGTTAGGATACCAGAGAGGAAGAAATTGCTTGCAAAGGGAGCCCTAGAAAATTTAAAGCAGAGTTGCCTGAACTTTTGCTCAAACACAGCACAAGCCTTAGCAGAAAACAGACACTGTGGTACTGATTGCTGACTGGAGGTTCTGATAGGGTATGCAAATGCTTAGGAATGGAGAGAGAACATGTTAAAGTATCCTATGCTTCATGCCTTAGGAGCATAGCCCCTTAATCATAGAGCAAAGGTTAATTCCCCAAAGGTTAACCCCCAAAGCTCATCCTGAATTGAGGCGATCCACTTGTTAAGTAATTGACTGACAGTTATAAATTCTCTCTAAAGTAAGATAAGATTCTCAATAATGATGCATACCCACAATGTCTTGAAGTGTGATCCTAATTACTCTTATTAAAAAAAAAGCAAACCCAGAGTCAGATATTAGGGTGAAAGCTGAAAGATCAGAGTGTAGCCAAGCCCTAGCAGTCCTGCAGCATGTTGGTACTCATGGCGGCGGCTGGCAGCATCTCCTGACTCAGCCTTCCTGTTCCCAGAATTCTCTTCTCTGCTTGTCCCACCTATACTTCCTGCCTGCCTACTGGCCAATCAGCATTTTATTTATACAGAGTGATATCCACAGCATCAGAGAAGCAGAGCAGCAGCCACTAAAAACTTCTTACCTCTATGAATCCTCAGACTGAATGGTCGCCCAAGATCCTGTCTCCACCTGCTTTATATTCCTGTCTCCACCTCCCTAGTACTGGGATTAAAGGTGTGAGTCTCCCCTGCCTGGCTCTGTTTTTTTTTTAGACTGGTTCAGTCTCGTGTAGCCCAGGGTGGCCTTGAACTCCTGATCTTCCTGCTTCCTCCTCTCATGTGCTGGGATTAAAGGTGTGTGCCACCACTGCCTGGCCTCTATGGTTAACTAGTGGCTAGCTCTCCCCTCATATCTCCAGGTAAGCTTTATTTGTCAGAACACAAAATAATCACACAATGATGTCTAGCATGCAGTTATAATACTTGTGCATAAGTCTGAGAGTATCACACATAAGCAGAATAAAAAATGCACAAAAATGAGTATCTGAAATGAAAACATCACCAGACAGAGGAAGTTGTGAATTGTATACTCTAGAGAGGATCAGTGAACTTGATCGTGGATTAATGTAATCTATCAAAACCAAAGCACAGTGTAACAACAGACCAAAACCAAAAATGGATAAAGCAAGCCATAGCCTCCCTGTTATAGTTTCTTTCAGTCTAACAAATACGTGGTTGTAGTGGTAGAGGGAGAAGAGACAGATTAGGGCAGAAAATTATCAGAAGTAATACTGGCCAAAAATTGTTGATAAATATAGACCCATAGATCAAGAAGTCCAACCAATCCCAAGCAAGATTAACACAAAGAAAATCAACACTAGATATGCTATCAGTTTCCGGAAAAACAAAGGGCAAAAAATCTTAAAAGTAGTCTGACAAAAAAGGACATATTACCTGTAGGGGGAAAAATGATAAACATCATCACTGACTTTGTATCAGAATCTGCATAAGCCAGAAACCAATGAATGCCATCTTGAAAGTGCCAGGAAAAAAAAAATGCAAAAACATTGTCAATCTAGAATATTGTATCAACTGCATGTAAAGAGAAAACAGACATTTTCAAATGAATTAAAGCTGAAAGAATTTAGACCTGCACTTAAGAAATGCAGAAAGTTTTTTAAGCTGAAGGGAAGTGATATCAGATGGTAATTACAGGAAAAAATATGTGGGCAAAAGTGAAATACCATTTTCCTTATTTGTTGATTTATCTTTTGATGAGGTTTCATTTATGTTTAAAGCACAACTAATAACCATATATGATAATTTTAGAACATATGGGGGTAATTACATAACAATAGTTTCAGAAAGATTGTATTTCTGATAAACAAATCTGTTTTGGCAGCAGTTTTTTACAGCATATGTGAAGATATATAATATTTAGGATAAACTATAGTAAGTTCAGAATTCATAATTTAATCCTTAGGGCACTAAAACAGTAGAATGAGTATATAGATAAAAACTTGCCAGAGGAGATAAAGTTGATCACTGAATAATTGATTAATTCAAATGAAATCAGGAAAGGAAGAAAAAAGAACGAAGGAAAAAGAAAATATAAAGAACAAAGCCAAGATGATATGGCTAGGACACAAATAGAAAGATGCATACTAAATATATAATTATATTAAATATAAATGACTATATTTTCCAATTAAATAGCAGAGATCATACTAGTTAAAGACAAATAAGAAACAAGACTCAGACATACAATCTCAATAGATGTATTTTAAAGTTTTCAGAATAATATTACCACTAAAAGACTACCCATATGCCTCTTTGTTGAAATTTGCCTGTTGTTAACATTTTACTACTTTATTAGTTGTCCTCATTTATAACATACACACACACAGTTCTTTGAGAAACTTATATCAGTTTATGCAATCTGTATATATTCTTGTTTAATTGTATGACCCAATAATGTAGCTGTTTATTTTTATCAGTTGTTCAGAATAAGACATTTAAGGATGACATTGCCATACACAAATATAGCAATTCTTCTGCTCTTGGAGTAGATGGGGGTCTGTCTTTGGATAACTTAAACTAATATTTCTAAGTTCCCAACAACAGTAAAATGACCCTAATTCTGCCATGATGGAGAATCGATTATAGTTAAGAAGAGTGCAAACAAGCTATCCTGTCTTCCCTTATTTACAGTGGCTTTAGCTTTATCAAATGTAGTTCCTACACCTTTAAAAACAAAATCCATATTAAAAATGGTGATAATAATGAAGCAACTTAAATTCCATTAGGCATTAATATATGGAATATACAAAGTATTACAATACGTGTTTCTAGCTTATTAAGTGAATTAATCCTTCCCTTTGTTAAAAATGGATAATTTGGGGATTCTATTTTAACATGATAGAGTGAGATATTTTAGCAGCTTTAATAGAATACAATTTAAAGTACAGGTTTTATTGCTTCTCAGCCTGTTGGCTAAGGTCAACTATAAAGAATAGTTTTCACAGTGTTCTGTGTGTTTAGCGAATTGTGCAGTCATAGTTACAGTCTAATTTTGAGACATTGTCTTTACTTCAAAAGAAAATCTTGAATCTGTTAGTTGTCACTTCCCATTCTCTACCCTAACACGGTCACATTAATTTCTACAAATGGCTTATTTTTATTATGGACACAGAGCCATCTGGTCTTTTCATTTTCTTTAGTATACATCTTTGGAAATTTTAGTTTAATAGAAAATACACAAGATCTATTCAGGTCACTAAAAAGGTGTCATTTTTGTCCAGAATATTTTTAGCATGCTGATGAACTGGGTCTTTGTAGATTCCTTAGAGGTAGAGAATGTGGGGAGCTGTACTACACAGCACCAACTGTACCATTGGTCCAAAGCTTATGAGATAATACCTGTCATTAAAAGACATAAAAAACATTAATAGACACGGT